GTCATCACTGCTGCAGTTCTTCGTTCCTTTGTGTAGATCTGGATCTCCTTCTGGTGTCCTTTTCCTTCTGTCTGTCTGGAGGACTTTTTAAACACCCCATGTAATGCAGGTCTGCTAGTGATGGATTCTTTCAGCTTTTTGTAGACATGAAATGTATTTTGCCTTATTTTTTAAAAGTTATTTTCACTGGATATGGAATTACAATTGACTTTTTCCTTCAGTATTTTAAAGACAGTATATGACTATTTTCTCATTTGTGTAGTATTTGACGAGAAATCTTCTGTGATCATTATCTTTGTTTTTTAAAATTTGATTTTTTTTTTTTGCATGCGACTGTTTAAGATATTCCTCCTTTATCACTGATTTTAAGAAGTTTAATTGTGATGTGCTGTGGTGTAGTTTTCTTCAGATTTTTGTTCATTGAGTTTATTGAACTTCTTTGATTTGTAAGTATATGGTTTTCATCAGATTTGGAAGATGTTCAGCCATTATTTCTTCAGGTGCTTTTTCCTTCCTGTTCTCTTTCCTCTCCTTAAGGAACTCTTACCACAAGCCTATCATTCATTTGAAAGTAATTCACAGTTCACTCATGCTCTGTTCATTTTTTTGGTCTTGTTTTGCTTTCTGTGTTTCATTTTGAGTATTTTCTATTGGTGTGTCTTCAATTCTACTAATCTCTTCTCTTGCAGTGTCTAATCTGTCACTAACACCATCGAGTATATTTTTCATGTCTTACATTGTAATATTCCTTTGTAGAAGGTCAGTTTGGATCTGTTTTGTATGTTCCCTATCTCTGTTTAACAAGTTCACTCTTCCAGCTTCTGAAATATAAGGAATACAGTTATGATTATTTAAATGTCCTTGCTATTCATTCTATCGTCTGGGTCATTCCTGGTTCAGTTGTTTACCCATAAGCACGAATGGGTCGGTTCCCTGCTGAATACTCTAGGGGTTCTTCCACGCATCTGGGTTCCCATCCCATATAGCTCTTTGTCCACCCTGCGGTCCCCACTTTCCCACTGCGTCTCTTCAGCTTAGCAGGATGGCTGGACCGCGTCCCCGTGACTCTCCACACTGCAGCCCGGAAGCCTTCACAGGCGGGAGCTGTGGCAGATAGATGTCGGGCCCACCTCTCCTGTTGCTTGTCTGTCAGCATTATTGACCTTTATTGCTTGATGTCCAGGGTCTTGAAAATGAAGGTTTTGTATACTTTCTCCAGTCTTTTTGGTTGATTCAGGTATGGAAGAAAATCTGGTCTCTTTTATTCCTTCTTGTCTCGAACCTGAAGTCAGTATTTCTAGTTGATGTAATGTAATGAAAATCTACTTGCAAAGTAAGACCAGTCAAAAGTTGAAGTCTTTGCTTTAACAGCATCCTCTCTATCCACCCCAGAAGTAGAACCTGTCTTTAATTTAGAATGACTTTATTTTTGAATAAATAAAGTTGACAGTGGACATATTTACATTAATCCTGAAATTAACGGTGCTTAAAAATGATTGTAGATTTTATTATTTCCTACTCTTTAAGTCATATTTATTATTTGATGCTGCCTTAGGTATAAATTTATTCCAGCAGTATGGTTTAGAGAAGGGAATTTGGAAACCTAGTCAAGATCATAATTTAACCGCCGTAAGAGTCCAGAGGGAAAAAAATGTGTCAATCCCATTGTTTTGTCAGAGAACATTCAACTTATAAATTTATGTTTTTATGACAAGGTGTGTGTGTTCCTTTTGGTAGTCTTACATGAAAGCCATGGATATCATGTCAGCCATTTGTGTGGGATGCAGCACACGTGCTTTAATGATAAAGTTGCTTTAATGATCCCTTAAGTGCGTCAGGCTTTACAAACTCTTTCTCGACCTCTTCATGCTAGTATGGAACCAGAATGTGCTTGTTAGAAATCAGAGTCACCTCAGGTGGGCTAACGAAGGTGAATTCTTACGATTCATATGGTAGGTGGAGTAGCCAGTTCTTCCCTGAAATGAGGTTTCGTACCTTGGTCTTGTAAAGGTACGAATTCCATTATTCAAGGAATTACGCATAAAACATTTTTAACTGCATCTTGGTGGGGGGAGCCGGTGCGTGGTTTCATTCACAGATGAGAAGGCCTTGTGCTTAGCCATGCCTAACTAGCCAGGCTTTTCCCTGGTGTATATTTTACCTATCTTTAAAGAAATGACTTTTGAATGGGAATGAACATTTCGGTATTTGACTAGCAGAGTTAAATAACATTTGATAATTGAATTTTTTTAGTCTTATCTTAAAATTTGCTCCCTTAATACCCCTTTTTTTAAAAAGAATTTTTAATGTTTATTTTTGAGAGACAGAGAGAGAGTGGGGGAGGGGCGGATAGAGAGGGAAACACAGAATCCAAGCAGCTGCCTTAATACCCTTTTATATCCTTCTCTGGAAGTAGAGATTTTCAAGTATTATACATTTTTACAATACATATGAAAGTTAAAATTTTAAGAATTGTTACTTTTTTTTAAGTGTTGGCACTTTTAATAAAAAAGTAACATTTTACAATTTAATTACTGCTATGACTTAAGCCTCTCGGACGTTGGGTTAGGGGTGATTGTTCAAGGTTCAGTCTTGTACAGGATTTTCAGAACTGAAGAGCTGCTGTGTTGTCCGCAGTGATCTTTTAGTCAGACAGTGTTAGTTAGAAATTTAAAAGACTACATCGTCGTTAGAACTAGCCCCTGTCATCTGCTACTTTGTCTAGTGCTTTGTTGCATGGTGGCGACAGGCTCCCATCCACGAGGTCAACCCGGGGTGTCCAGACAGGTAATGAGGAGACAGCTCCTGTCCGAGGTTTCTCAGGAAGGCTTGGCCTCCACTCTCAGGACACCGAGTTCAACCCACTGAGAAGCTGTATGTAACAGCATTCCGCTGGCCCTTCGCTCAGCGTGTGGCACTGCTGTCCCCCTGTGGTGCACAGGCCAGGCTCAGGATGCTGGCGGGGTTCCTGGGTAGCATGTCTCCGTGCTGTCCAAAGTGGCCTGACCCCATAGGTTCACAAGGCAAGTCACCAGCCTGTGAAGAGACCGTGAGAACTCGTATTTGTCTTTAAAGTCTGTTCTTTGTGTATAATGTAACAGCCAGTGAGTAGTACATAAATGTTTTGAAGTAACTAAAGAAGCATATATGGGGTATACATGTTCTGATTTTGACTTTGCGAACGGTGGTATATGATTAGAAATATCCAGAGAGCAGGCCAGACTCTTCTGGAGCATCCGCACAAGGGATGTATCCTGTGATCAGTCTGCTTCATCACACGCAAGGTTTCATGTCTGTGTGCGTCTCTGTGTTTCTCTTGTGTAAAGGGCTATGGCTCTCACCAGAGTCTCAAAGGAGTTTGGTCCTAAGTATCAAATAAACTAGTTATCTGGGATCCTTGGGCTGAAGTCAGTGAAATGTGTTTTGGAAGGACTGTATCCTGTCTGCAGATAACTTCCTAGGTTAAATTAAATGGTACTTTGTTTGAAAAATAAAATGTGTAATTAGGTATGTTTTCCTTTTAACACAGTCCAGTGTTTAATCTGAGAAACAGCAGCCGTGGCGGTTACTGGCGTGTAGTCTGTGCTGCCTTCTCCGCTGGGGGCTGGGTCCCTGCACCTTCTTTACAAAGATATTTTATTGTATATTTTCATTAATCTTTTTAAAATATCATGGTAGATTATTGTCTCTCAAATTCACATATATTGGCGCTATGTAAATGTGGCTGTTAAAGAAATACTTCTTGAAACGTCCTAATTTCGTGACACTTTCGGATACGAAGGTTTTTCTGTTTTCTCTACGCGCCGCCCGTGTGGGGTTGTCCCTGTCATGGGTGATGGGATTGCTTTGGTGAGGTGAGAGCTGAGTTCCAAAGGCAGCTGATAAAATGAAATGGAGTTTGGTTACTCGAAATCCTTAGGCCACCCATGAAATAAAGGGAGCATGGTTTTGCTTATACAGCCGTTTGTGGTTACAATTTTATATGGCTCCAAGTAGCTCTTCCGTTTCTTCCTCAAAGATTGTCACCATCTGTCACTTGGCTACCTACATGCTGCTTGCTTGCTTATTTATTTCCCAGTGGTCAGAAAAGTCCTAGCATTCACATACTCTTTCTAGTAAGTATTTGGCCTAGAGCACGTTATCACTGAATAGGATGACTTTTTTTTTTTTTTTTAAATAAAAAGACTTGCTTTTTAAAATGTGTTTCGGTGAATTTAAGTAGCTTCAGTGTATATAACTCTGGTGCATTTCCAGGCTTTTACCTCACAAACCTGGGGCTCCCGGTTCAGGTTAATAACATCTCCCTGCCTCCCCTGGAAAAGAATAACCCTATGAGTTTATTCATTGATGTAGTTAAGTATTAAGTATGTGCAAGCATGGCTCTGGGCATTGGGAATATAGGAGTGAAAAAAACCAAAGTCCTTCTTCTCATAGAACCTACATTCTGGTGGGGAAAGTGGGCAATAGAGACACTAGAAAGGAAAAAAAGTATTTCAAGTAGTGTCATGTTACAAAGAAGCGTAATGAGGCTGGACAGGGTCGCAGAAGGGGCCGGCTGTTTTCCGTAGAGGAAACAATTGCCTCTCTAAGGAGGTGACAGTCCACCTGGGACCTGCATGGAGGGAGGGGGACCGAGCGGTGGGGAGGTGGGAAGTATGAAGGATTGTCGTGTGCCTTGTCTGCCATGACTCTTGTGTCCTGAGCGAGCTGAGCGCGCTGGGCACCCTCCCCGTGAGCGGCAGCGCGGTGGACGTCTTGTGGGGGCAAGCGTAGTGTGAGGGCCTTCGCTCCAGGGTCACCTCCAAGGACCGTGACCCGTGGACACAGTAGGTGAGGGCTGGTTGAGGGTGTCCCCAGAACAAGCATTAATTTGGACCAGGATTCCCATGAACAGAAATGAGAAAGTCCGTGGAATTTGATCTGTGTTGTACTTTATTTTGTAACGTATTTAAATATATTGTGCCTGATTTATTAAGGGCTATTTTATTTATTTTTAACAGGAATCACTAGATTTGATCTACTTGGAGACTTTGGAAGGTTTAATTGGCTGGGAAATTTCTATATTGTGTTATCCTACAATTTGCTTTTTGCTATTGTGACAACATTGTGTCTGGTCAGAAAATTCACCTCTGCCGTGCGAGAAGAACTTTTCAAGGCCCTAGGTAATCCTGAGGTTTACGGGTATTTTCTCTCTTCCTACTAATTTTTTATTTTGCCATTTCAATTAATTTTAAATCTTCATCTGTTCATTTTTCCTAATGTGTAACACCTTAGAGGTCACATTTCTGACCCAATGCTTGCTGGTTATGCTCTTGTGTAAAGTTATTTCATGAAGCCTCGGCTTCCTCATCTATAAAATGGGGAGGATATCGTCTTCTCGTGAGGACTGTTGTGGATGTTAACGGAACTGTTTCTCGTAAGGGCCTGAGCTGGTCCTGACACATCAGAAGGGCTCGATAAAATGAGCTCTTGTAGTGTTTTGCTGACACTGGTGGTGGTGAGGAGAGGGTAATAAGGGGATAAACTTACCTTTTGGTGATGAGACCGCTTACTGTTTGTTAGTTACAGATCTCTTCTGAGGCTCATATTTTACGATATCGAGCTGATCCATAAATTCTCTTCCGTAAGCCAAATCAGTCAAGATAAAAATATTAGTATTCTTGTGATCAGTAGGGGAGCGGGCATTCACGAATCACACATTCCGTGAGTCACGTGCATTGTGACAGTATTAAAAACCTCTTAGTTTTGGCCAAGGTATAAAGGGTATAGATGTAACTTCTCAAGTGTTTTTCATGCTCAACATTAGTACTAGGCATGTATCAGGCCTCATATTTTAGGAATGCCAGGGCAATATAAACTCTCTTGGGTTGGGAGTATGTAATTTTATAATAAAAGAAAGGCAGTGATTTACTGGGGAGACTCCTCTAACAGTAGGTCATTTCCCTAACTAGACATCACTTGAGTGTTTGCGGTCTGTGTTCCGTTGTGGCTCATAGCGATCACCTAAGGCCCTGCACTAACATCCGGGTAACTTCCCCCTTCTGCGCCGCAGTGCGGCTTCTCACCGACATAGTTCTTCCAGCCCCTGCGGTTGAAGGGATGACCTTTGGGAAGGAAAAAAGATTTCAAATGATCTATTCCTATGTATTTTACTTTAAATTTACCCTGTGAGGGGATGGCTGGTGAATAGTGGCCTAGAGGAGAGCGTGACATCTCATTTCAGCAGAAGCACCAGATAATTTGTGGATTTTCATGCCTAAGTTTCCTGACACTGACAAGGTACAAATCTGTTACGGTGGCGTGAGGATCAGCCAGTCTCCTCGCCAAGTGTCTGAAGTTAGAGCTTCATTTTCAAGTCCGTGGTGGCATCGGTGAGATTAATTTTAATGTCAGATCAGTTCCCCGTTACTAGGCACTGACACGAGAGGGTTGTCGATGCGTTACCATGAACTTAGTTGGGTGTTCGGGATACCGTCTTTCTCAGGAAATCTTTATTGATGTGGTGAAGCCTCATTTAACCTGAGGTGAAGTCATGTATGTTGTGATGGCCCTTTGACCCTAACTGGCAGCAGACTTGTGTAAAACTAACAGATGGATTTAGTGGTTTTGATCCACATGTTTTCTGTTACTCTTTGGAATGCCTAAGGAGGAGATGAATTATATCTAGAAAAAGATCCTCATTAAGTATATGTAATAATGTGTGAGTAATCTGAGATCTTCAACCTGGTTTCACTGGGAATCATAATTTGATTATAAAATTTAACTGTCTCCTCCCCCCCCTTTTTTTTGTAGGCTTTTCCCCTCTGCTGCTGTGTCCATTGACAGTGACAGTGTCTGTCCCATAGAGGACCCGGTGTCCTCTGTGTGTAAATAAGCCCCGGCCGGTGGTGGAGGTGACGGCATCTGCACAGAGAGACGTTGTAGTTGTTTCACAAGACGCACAGCTTGTGCTGCCCGCGTTTTAGAAGTAACAACGGGGAATAGTCGATCCTAAGAGGGGATTCCCGTTTACTTTGGGCATCGATTACCCCGCTGGTCCTCTGTCTGCCCACTTCCTTCTCCAGCAGGCCCTGTTCGAACACGCTTGCCCACCCCCAGCAGCTGCGGCTTCCTGTCGTCGCCCAGTGGTTTGGCCATTCCGGGGATCAGAACTGTTTTTATGTTAGATTGATCTCTTTTTTCCCAACCATTCATACATCTCAGACAGACTCAATTTTACGTTTTCTTTCAGTAAGATATGCAGGTGATAGAAACTTCAAAAATCAGAGTGCTGTGTTGAATAAAGAGGGATGTAAAAATTGCTTAACCGCCAGGTAGATAGCTGTCTGGAATCTTGGGAGGAAAAAAGCTGATCCAAGTACGTTTCTGAGGTGTCACAAAGGTCTGAGCCTTATAAAAATGATTCCTCAAAATCTTTTCTGTGGATGGGCTGGTTATGTATTCTTGAACATCTTTGTGCTTCATCTTATTAATTAGTGCTGAGAGCTTTGGGGCCACATAAACTCAAATTATCTTCTCCGTTTTCCCCTGGGAGGCACGGTTGTGTATGTCGGGTACATTAGGTGAGTGACTGGTGTGTGACCCAGAAGGAAACCAGCGCAACTGTAAAAGACAGCGATGATCTCTTATTCTGTGAACTATCTTTGAATAATGAAATGGTGTTTATGTTCAGTTTATTTTTTGGCCATTTCTTGTCTTTTTCTTTTTGGTCATGTATTCCGTTGCTTTTCTTTTTAATGACATGCCTAGTGTTTTGGTGCGTCTTTCCATATGTTTCCCTGTGTGTGTACTTGCATGTGTGTATTTTCAAGCAGGAACGCGGTCATCTTCGGGTCAGGCTAGGCCCCCTGGGAAGCACACTGGGTCCGGATGAGGTGCAGGGGGAGGCGTGCAGGGGGGTGCTCCCGGGGTCGGGGCGGAGGACGGGGGGTGGGGTGGGGAGGGAGCTAACTGTAGAGAGGAGAAACCGGAAGCCCCCTCGGGCCCCAGAGCTGCACAGAATTGAGGAGAAGGCCCCGGGAGCCACCAGCAGGGAGGAGGGGTCTTTCATCCTGAAGGGGCGCGGCCAGCACCCCCCAGCTGCCCCGGTGGCCCCGGACACCGCCCTGCTGGCCCTGTGCCCCCGCGCAGCCGCGCGTCCTTTCTCACCGGTTTCTTACTCTTCCCGCAGGGCTGCATAAGCTCCACTTGTCAGAAGCGCCACGGGACTCAGAGGCGTCCAAGCCGTCTGCGAACGGGCATCACAAAGCACTGTGAGGACGCGGCGCCGCCGCCGCGTCGGTGGGACGTGACTCGCGCCGACCGTGCTGACGGTTCGGGCCTGAGGGCCCGGCCGCCTCCGCGTGACGCTGCGCACCGTCCCGGGCCGCCCGGCGCCCGGGGCGGCACGTTCTTGCGGGGGCGCTGTGCTGGCGTCGGTGCTGCCGCCCCACGGGACAGTGTGTGAAGGCGACTGCGGGGCTTTCTAAGAATTCGGTTAAATCCCGCTACGTATTCTATTCAAGATGGAGGCGGCCACGAGAACGGCACTGTTGGCGCCTGGCGGTGGCGGGAAGGCCCTGCAGACGCCGGGCTTCCGGGCGCCCCCGCTGCGGGGGGGGGGGGGGGGGGGGCAGTGCTCGCAAATGGTGTTTCTCGCTTCCTTAAGGAAAAGATGGAAGCGTAGTTCCGGTCTGTTTCAGAGTGACCTCGATTGGACTTTGAGTCAAGGGAAAAATACGAAATTCTTTTAAAACCTGGTCGGGGGTAGGACGCCCGGAAACACCTGCCGCGGTGCAGCGCAGTGAGCCCCGCGGGACGTCGTTCCAGCCCCTGTCCTGCGCCCTCCGTGTATGTGGTTCAGGATTACCTCTCATCACAGGGTTGCCGGTGTTGAATACACTTGTGACTTAGATTTTGCCTTATAGGCTATATGGACACTCCGTTTTTAAAGCATTTCTTCGGATATCCCTGGGTCCCTTGTTCTCCCGTGTCCCTTATGAAACTACAAACGATCTGTGGTAGAAGCCCCTCCGTCGCTGCATTCTTCAGGCTTTGGTTACTTTTGTATATGCCGATTTCAACCTCAGATTTCTAAAAGTTACCAGTTTACCACCCAGATGCACTGTATCCGCATTCATGATGTAAGGGTAGCTCTACAATGTATGGTGATCTGATAATCACTCAGTTACTGAATTGTACATAATTCTTGGGCCGGCTTCTTGACTTTAAGTCCACCGAATAAAACTATAAAATTGCACTCTGTGTTACGTCGCACGAGGATAGAGCACTGAGCACTGCGCCCAGTTCACGGTTCCGCAGTCTCGGTAAGCACTCGGTCCCACGCACGGTGTGCACGGCAGTAGGCTGTCTGCGTTCAGACAAAGGTAAAAGAACATTTTTCTCGTTGTTTGGAGGATTTTGTGAAACTTGGGCTGTATATAGTTGACATAAAAAATTTCCATTTAGAGCCAAAATAATAAGAAAAATCAATCTGTATGTACCTGAGTTGCACTGAGTGTATCTCTCCTTTATTTATACCTCCGCATTTCCTTCTGAGCTTCTCTGCTTGTTAAAATGCAGCTTAGTTTTAGAACAAAAGCCCATTTTGCGATTCTGCACAACACGCACTAAATACCAGCAGGGCAGCATTGGGGGTTTCAGCGCACGATCTGCAGAGGGGGGAAATGAACAGAAGTGGGCTATTTCCGCATTCCACTGCCAGTTACACCTATTTAAACATTAGTTGCAAGCTTTGATTTTTACTGAAACTCGCTTGTGGTCCGTATTTTGAAGAGACCCGGTCAAGGAGAGGAAAAAGAAAGTTCTTTAAATAAAAGAACATCAGTGGTAACTTACACCGGTGTCCGGCCACATCCATAGGAAGTCCTGGGTATTTGTAAGATGTCTGAGGGTTTCTGAGTGAAACATTAAACTTTTCAATGTCTGTATCAATTCTTTGTTCATTTGAAAGTTTCTTTTACAACGTAGGCCACATTTGGATGGGTAAGCAGTGAAATGTATCATAAATTCCTGCAGCTACTACCGGCTGCACCGTCCGTCATGGCTTCTGAGACCGAGGATGCACCTCATGTGGGGGGCAGTTTTGAGCCTTGGGTCTCAGACCCCTTTTGTGGGAACGAATGCAGGTTGATAGAGCCGCTGTTTGTCACATGGTCACAGCCGCTCGGGGTTCTGCAAACAGCACGTCCCTGGTCACACACAGGGCCTTCCTCCTGGGCAGAGACTTCGCATAGACGCAGCGCTCGCGTCGGCATGCCGGTGGCCGGCTGTGCGAGGCCGCGACGGAAGCAGGCCGCACACACGGAGGCCGTGCGCTCGCACTCACTCTGGTCGGGCCTTGCAGTTGCACTTGACATGTGGGTGACAGAGGCCCGGGGCCACCACTTCCTTCTTGTCAGGCCCCTTTACTCCATCTCACCTTACGGCCGCCCTGCAAGGGCCGTGGGACACGTTCATTATAGAGTTTCGTGAGGAGACGTAGCCAGTTCTTATCTTTAATTGGTTCTGCGACACTTAAATAATTTAAAATTAGACAGTTACAGATGATAACATTTGCAATTTTTACAGGTTTTTCCAAGTATCTCTGAGATTCAGTATTTACTTAGCTTTATATATATTCTGTATAAAAACAAACCTGCCGTCAAAGTGAAGCTATGTGAAAATTACACACATTTACACATGCGTACAAACACGCTCGCTCCTTCAGGGCCACACTGAGAGGCTGGCTGATCAGTGGACTCAAACAAACCTTCTGTGTGGTTTTGACTCTTGGATGTGTTAGCGGCTCGTGCTGCACACGCCTGATCCTTGGGCCTCAACGTCTGTGCCACGTTGCTGGAGCACAGAGACCCCCTCGTCCCCGTGCCTCCGTAACCTCGTAACCCACCTATGGCGTGGGCTTCCATCATTTGAGAACCCTCCATGGCTTTCTCGGGTGTTAGCATAGTATTTAATGTATAAAGATGGAATTCTTAAAATAATTTATTTTAAATATGAGTTTGTATACAGCACTGACTTTTATACTGAACACTGGTATGGGTTAGAGATGGTGTTCAGACACACTGGTGAATTACTGTTGTTCACTAGAGTGTTCTGTTTACAAATTATCTGTTGGTCTTGTTTGTTTCTATGAGACGCTTCTAGTGTGACCTTTTTAAATGTCTTAGCAATTAAAGTTTTACAAAAAGTGGTTTCCTATTTTGGTTTATAAGCATTCAGATGCGTTTTGGTTTTAGTTTTAAATCTCAAATACCATCGTGGCTAAAGCTTAAGCCTAAGCGTAGGTTACTTCCCTTTCAGTTTCCTAAAGGGCAGTAGTGATTCTGGTGGGGTGTTGAATTGAAGAAGTGACTGTTTTCTCCCTTTTTTTTTGTGGAGTTCTTGGTAGATCAATTTCTTGCAACCAATTACAGCTAAAATGTAGCATTAACAATTAAAGTCCTGGGTGTCATCTAATTTAGATGACATTTGTTTAGATGTATTTGATTTCTCTAATCTTTTCCATAAAAGGACTGAGCCACACCCGGTGGTCTGGGCAGCTTGCTCCACAGTTCCTGGAAGGGTAAATGGCAGTGGCACCTGGTGAATTCACTGGCAGACAGAAGCCTTTACAGCAGTGACTTTCCACCTCTTTGATGATAGGAGGAAGTACACTTTTCATTGCCCCTCCCCCCCAAACTTCTGTAACAAAAATCAACAGAGTAGCACCTACTTCTACTGTATGTGATGCATGCTGGCCTTTTCTATTTTATTTTTTAGAATATAGACAGAAACCACTAATGCTAATGGATCATAAACTTTAGTTTGAAAAATATGGCTTCAGGATCTAGTTGAATGATGAAGGAACACAAAAATATTTTGGCTTTTGAATATTATTTAGGTAAAATTCATCACTGCAAATGCCCCGGAAGTCAGAGTATTCTATGTGCAGATTATTAGTTGCGCTGCAAAAAATGTAATTAAAGTCAGTAGAAACTGCTAAAACTCTAAAAAAATGGATTAGAAAATTCCAAAACTAGGTGATCAATCCCTGTGTGTTGGAGGAATAGAGCTGGGAGCTAGTTTTGAAGAGAAGTTAGTTAACTTCCAGTTCTGCATAATTCAGTTAGGTAAACGTGTCTTCAAGTTCCAGTGTCATCAGATAGGAAATTCAGATGAAGCCCAGTTGTCCTTAGATGTGATTTTAGTGTTCTGTCCTCCTAAACGTACTGGAGAGTTGAGTTCCCAAACTTGGGTGATGCAGAGTAGGGCAGCAGCACCTGGTGTGGATGGCGTCAGGACCAGAAAGATCTTCAGTGTCTGAATGTTAGGAGGTAGAGATTTAATGTGAAGCTGAGGAACAAAGTTTGATCAGTTACTGAAACTCCTAGGAGAATGTCTTAATGTCTTCTTGAAAAGCTCTTCTTAAAAGATACACAGCTTACCAACCGTGGCCCCTGAGAACCCGGACACGCCGTAACGTCAAGTGGCTACAGCCGTTCTGTCCTGGTGAGTAGCTGTGGCTGCTGTATCCTAGTGAATGGCTGCGCATACTAACAAGTAGCTTTTTGCATATGTCTTAGCACACTGTTCTCTTCTCGCTTTAGAAACTTGTGATGGAAAACGTATCTTCTGTTCTCTCAATACTTCACTTTTGGCCCCCAAAGTGTGGGGGCCTTTCCTACACCAAGCTCTTCTCCCACTTCTCTGTGGAAGCCGCGTCAGTGTCCTACAGTCTGATTTCATCCTGACGCTGTCTCCCTAGAGTTAGTGCAGACCCCACAGGTGAAGGGTTCAGTTCCACAAGATTGGCCTCCACCGCCACCTCAGATGCCCGGGGCCAAGTCTGGGCTGTCCCCTGTGCTCTGACCAACGAGCTATAAATCCCAGGTTCCCACCACCCTCTCTGGCTCAGTGATTTGCTAGAGCAGCTCACAGACGCACTTTACTCACTACATTACCTGTTCATGACAGAGGACGCAGCTCAGGAGCATCAGGCGGAGGAGACGCACGGGGCGTGGGGGGGGGGGAGCAGAGCGTCCCTGCCCCCTCCAGGTGCGCCCTCCCCCCAGCTCCTCCGCGTGCTCCCCGACCCGGAAGCTCTCTGCACCCCTTCCGTTAGGGTGTTTTTTAAATGGAAGCTTCATTGCACAGACGTGATTGAAGCAAGGGTTGGCTGTTAGCGATTAGCTGGAGCTCTGGCCTTCCCCCCTCCCCGGAGATGGGGAGGCTGGGCCTGGAAGTGGTTGTTCCGCCCCCCCGCCCCCCCTTCCAAGAGACTGCTCACTAACCCAGGCTCAAGTGTGGTCGTAAGGGGCATCTCACGCGTATCAAAGGACACCTTTATCCTCTTATCACGTAGGAAGTTCCACAGGCTTTATTTCTGTGCCAGGAACCTGGAGAAAGACCAACTACATGTTTCTTACCGTAAGTTACACATTCACCTAATTCCTGGGTATTAAAGTCTTGGATCAAAGACAGTGCATATTTTCAGACTACTTCCAGAAAGATCCAATCAGCCTATGCTCTCATCGACAGCGTGTGAAGATGTTTCTGGAGCCAGCACGGACCTTGCCCCTCGTGTGGGAGTGCGCACCCGAGAGGCACGCGTGCGATTGTTGTGCTTTGCATTTCTAATAACTATCGGGAACTTGAAAAACATTTTATCAGCTGTTTGTATTTCTGCTTTTGTTAATTATCATTAAGTATACTTAGCCCATTTTTCTTCTGGTAGTTCATTATATCTTTATTGTTTTATAAAAACTGTATATCATGCTTATTAAATGTTTATCTTTCTGGTGTGTATCTTTTTCGTTTTCTAAACTTGTCAATATTGGGTCTTTGTGGTATGGGAATTTTAAATTTTAAAATATGCAGTTTCCCATAGCTTTTTGGTGTCATGCCGAGGCCCGAGACTTCTAAAGGTATTTCCCAGTTTTTGCCCCTAGCTACTGTGAGGTGTAATTCACATAGTATAAGGCTCACGGCGTCTGACTGGCTGATACGCAGCGTGTTCACAGGCCCGCGCGGCCAAACTCGTTACCCCAAACCCAACTGCGTCTGTGTCTGTATTTTCCTCTTTTTCGTACTTCGTCCGCCCTTTGCGTGCACTTGTGCTGCTGGAGGAGGCGGATGGTTGTGCAGGGACGCCACTGGCCACACGGCAACCGTCTGCCAGGCACCCCGGCGCCAGGTGTACTTGGGGGGCGCTGCGCCCGCCCCGTGGCACCTGGTCCCTCGCGGGGGTCTCCAGGGGCCTCTGCACACCTCCGTGCGGGGCCTCGGGGAAGGGGACGCAGAGCACACGACGACCGTTGACAGAGGCGATGCCCACCGAGTGCACAGCCGCCGGGCCGCCCGCCCGGATTCAGCCTGCGGCGCTCACGGGGTGGGGGGTGGGGGGTACCTCGGGGCGACTGGTTTTACTGTTTCGCCAAATGACAGAGCCGTATATCAGACCGTAATGTGATTTCAGCGCCGTTTCCATGAACTGCATGTCCGTAAAAATCGAGCTTTATTTCTAAATTTTACACCCTGAACCTCTAGTCAGTGTAGCTCATAAACTGATTTTGAAGAATATTCACCACTATTAACGTGACAGACACTAATCTTGTGTTTTGAATTGTTCATACGTGTCTTTCCTCTTCCAGAATTCTTGTCAAACTCATTCTGTCTGAAGCCTGCAGTTAATATGATGACTTTGCCGTACACCCTTCAGTTATAATTTGGAAGATGTATTCCTTTAGACAGATTAGCATTCACGTTGGCGAAGAAAATTTTTTTATTATTATTTAAAACATTTTTTAATGTTTCTTTTTGAGAGAGACAGAGTGTGAGCAGGGGAGGGGCAGAGAGAGAGGGAGACACAGAATCGGAAGCAGCTCCAGGCTCCGAGGTGTCACTACACAGCCTGACGTGGGGCTCGAACCCACGGACGGCAAGATCAAGACACT